AAAATGCAATCCAAAACGCAAACAATATTCCAGCAAAATGACTTACATGTCCTCAACATATTTGGAGGCGACAAGGATAGTGGTGATGAGCAGCCTATGCACATTTCGGGCCCCGACCCGGAATTCCGGGTACAGCTGGCAGAACCTATCGATGTACACGTAAGCAACGACGTAAACCGGCGGGCCGGCCCGCGTGTAGCGGAAAATCCTCTCTAGATAGGACTGGACGCTCATGTCAGGCGTCTCGTCGGAATCGAAAAAACGGGCCGGGCCCGAAAGCGAGGCCCATTTACAGTTCTTGGATATCCTCTGGTTCCGGGCCATTGTCCTCTCAATGAGTGACGAGAGTACAGAGATGACTAATGGTGTGGCTGAGCTATCTTGGTATGAGTATGAATAAAGATCATTTCTAAGCTTTTTTGGAGAAATTAAAGCCATTTTTTTTTTCAATTTAATGACTTGTAATTTTTGGGATGAGTTGAATTTTGTGTGGGTGTTGGTTTAAGAAGGTTTGGGAAGGGTTTTATATGAATGGGGGATGACTGATGAGAGGAGTTTGGTAGTGTGGAGGAAAATGAATGGTTGTTTCTTTATTTATTTTAATGGTTTTTCTTATAGAAAAAGTGATTAATTGATTTAATTTGTTGGAATTAAATTTGGGGAACATATGGAAGGTGAGAAGGAAAGAAGGGAGTATCAAAGTACAAGATATTTGCCTAACTGGAAAGGCAGCTGTTAAAAGTGAAATAAGTATTTCGTTGATCTCATAAAATATAGTCACAAAATTGTAGGACCGTTAATCAGATCGATTAGAATTATAAATAGAGAAATACTATCGACATAATACTTTACATAAAATGTACGTAACACTTACATTAAGTGAATCCTACTAAAAACAAAAATTAAATAAACTCCACTCCATGTGAGTGTGCTATGTACATTTAGCATTTTCCTTATAAATATATATATTTTTCGAAAAAATATAATTAATCTTGTCAACAGCAGATTTAATGTGTATACAAGGAACGATTATTTTGTATTTATTAAATGGGACGATTTAATTTTTTTGTTAATTGAATTCAATTTGAAGATGAAATTTTTGTTACAGCCATATGAATCCGCCGACAGTTGGAGATAAATAGAAAAAAGAAATTTGAAAATATGTGGACTATTGAAATGTGAGGTCAGAGATTGGGTCCACGTTTGAGGAAGGCATTTAAGGGAGTATGTGTTGAGATGTGTGTTAGAAATAAAATTCAATTTCAAATAGAGTGTCTATTTAACACATATAGGGAAGGGATAGGGTACAAGTTACACGTGCAATTGGGTTGGTCAAAAGTCAAAACCATCAAAATCTTGGTTTTGCAACTTGAATGGGTAAAGGGATTATTTATTCATTTCTTGATCTAAACCCCAACACATGTATGTGGTGATTTTGTTTTCTATTTATAGTGATTTTGTTTTCTATTGTTAGAAAATCAAATATTTATTTACATTAGTTAGTTAATCTAATTAACATAAGTGGTATTTGGAAGATTGTCTTAAAGAGCATACATTCTTTATCAGTGAAAACATTGTCATGTAAACTAGTTGATTTTGATGGGAGACACAATCCAAATCCAAATCCAAATCCAATCGGTATGAATATTTGAACCGTCAAATCGCATGTGATGAGGTATTATACGCACAATTTGCAAGTATGTATTGAGGTATAGGAAATTACCGATTTTTAGAAAAGTAAAATAAATAAATATAATAGATCAAATCAAAGTACGATATTGTACAATATCATGAGCACAAATATTGAATTGTTTAGGGGGTGATTGGATATGAATTCAACTAGTAAAAAACTAGTTTTTTTTTAATTATAGTTAAGTTTGAAAAAAAGTAGTATGGTTAGTTGTTAGTGGATATATTAAAATAATATTTAAATTAAAATAATTAAAGTTGATTTGATGTAAAAGTAGGAGAAAATGATTGGAAGTGATGGTTAGTTAAAATTATGTGAGTGTGTGAATAGTGAATTAAAGTTGATGTGATGTGTAATAATGATTGTTTGATATTATTTAATTATATTGATAATATTGGAGATAATGGAGTTGAGTTAAATTTGAATTTTGAGTGAGATATTTACTGTAGAAAATATAAACAATCACGCCCTCAGGGCCCATATAATCTTCCCCATACAGCCTGTATTTAACAATTTTAAAACTAGGTTCATAAATTGAGGCCATATTATATACACATGATTTTGTATGATTAGATTTGTTTTTTATTTTTCAATTTTTTTTTTTTTCTGAATATATGCACTGAATAAAACTCTGTATGTGTTTGTTTCAGGTCAACAGTTTTCATTTCATTTTGCTTCTCGATAAAGTGAATCCGCCAACAGCCAAATAATTGAATAATAAAATACAAATACAGTGTCTTATCATCTTTATTCAATTCTACATTCAGTGCACGAGCACACCCGGCCCGCAAGTATCGGTTGTTTACAAAAAATTTTGTAATAAATACATTTATACTGAATTAAAATGCTCCATATCATGATTCATGAATATAGTGATAAATAAAAGTTTAAGTCGATGAATACAGATGCCATACTAGAAGAAAAATAAAATAAAATAAATAAATATAATATTATGATTTAGTTACCATACTAGAAGAGAAATAAAATAAAATAAATAAATATAAATACGATATAGTCAGCTAAACTAATCAACTTCGTATTAAGTTCGGTTTATCAGCTCAATAGCGAGTTCAACAATGGGTGGAATGAGATTATTGGAGTAATCTAGTTCGAACTATGGTTTTAGGATGTCTAGTCATGCTCGAGGTAGTAATTAACTAATAATTGGTTGAGAATAGTTGTGCCGATTTAACTTAGAAATACGTAAAAATTTATAGTTCAAGAAAACTTCTTATAAAAGAACTAGATCCTTGTGATAAAGAAATGATATTTTTATACATCTTGAATAAATATAGCCCGAATTTGGTAAGATTTTAGTGTATCCCAATGCTTGAAGATGAATAATTAATAAGCTATCCACCGTAACGTAACACTCCTATATAAAGGGTGAGGTATATGTCTACTTACCTTTATACACTCTATATACTTACAAAGTTTATACTATCTTTTATTATTGTCTTGTGGATTGACTTAATTGTCGGAGTTCTAACATCGACAATTCCTCTCGGCCTATTTTTCAAGAAGCAAATTTAGGTCGTGCAAACCGGGTCGAGGTGTTTTACACACTAATAAGTTATAGAGATTAGATCCAAATCGCGAGGTGTAGAGTGTATCAGATTATATATAAAATGATGTACTCCCTCCTATTCATAATAAGTGTCGTTTTGGGAAGTTCCACACTAATTAAGAATAATTTTTTTGTCAATAATAACCCTTATTAATGAAGATAGAAATGGATGTTTTAAAAAAAAAAGATGAAGAGAATATGAAAAGACATAGTGTATTTATTAACTAAATGAGGGTAATAATGCAAAAATATGTACAAAAGATGCAAAACGACATTTATTTTGGTTGATAGTTGATAAAGCTAAAATAACATTTAAAAAGAATAGGAGGTAGTACCTTATATATCAAATAATGTTTGAGCCTATTATATTATTATTATTATCATGAAATTCACGACAAATTAACCGGAGAAACGTAGAAAATTTGATCACTGCCTACTACTGCATTAATTTTGGGCCCCAAAATATTCAAAGCAACAAGTCTTTTGAACTTCAGATATTTTAGGGCCAAAATACATAATTGCCCAAAAAAATAAAGCTATCCATAAAAATCATATAGGACATGGAATTCAAAAAATGAAATCTTTCAAATATCCATAACTGCAACAGATAATAATCATTACATTTTTAATTAATTTTAATTTTTTTTTTTTTTANAAAAAAAAAAAAATATGGGCTGGGCTAAGAAATCATGTATGTGAATTTGGGCTGGGCTTCTCATGTGGACTTTGATCATATAAAAACGCCATTACCTGGCCGAATATGATTGGTGATGCACCGCATGAAAACCAGCTCGCATTTTGCTTCTCATAAAATTAATAATTACCACAAAAAACATTGAGCGCCCCACGTATCCCCATTCATTTTTTATTTTTTTCATGAAAACTAGAAAGACAAATATAAGAAGTAATTTACATTGACCTTTGCTTCTAATTTAATCCCCAACTTTCAGTTTACCAATCAATAAAAGACATGAGCTTTCTATTTTTGCAAAACCAATGCATACAATCATTAAATCTCCATCAAATGCTAATGTGTCAAACTTATTATCTGACTTATAGATAGATGATACTCCCTCTTATTTATAATAATTATTGTTTTAGGAAGTTGTACACTAATTAAGAATAATTTTTTTGTCAATAATAACCCTCATCAATAAAGATAGAGATGAATGTTTTAAAAAAAAGATGAAGAGAATATGAAAAGATATAGTGTATTTATTAACCTAATGAGAGTAATAATGTGAAAATATGTACAAAATATCTAAAACGACATTTATTTTGGTTAATAGTTGATAAAGCAAAATCATTTAAAAAGAATAGGTGGTAGTATTTAATTAAAAAATATCTAATAAATAGCATTTAAATTTAATTAAAAAATATCTAATAACTGGTATTTAAATTATCGTATATTTGGACAATTAGTCATACTCTAAAAACGTACGAACTACAAATATGAGCTCAAGCTCGAGTTCGAATTTAAAACGCTCGAGCTGCAAACTCAAGCTCGAGCCGAACGTTGACTCGAATACTTTTCAGCTGATTCGTTTGCAACCCAAATTTACCATGCATTTTAATTTACTAGAAATATTTTTAATTTACAATTTAGCCAAATAAAAACCGAAATTTTCAGTTCCCTAACCCCTAATTCCCACTTGCAGAAAATTACACAAACCCATGGGGGATGAGACAAAAAACAGTTTGATTTTTCAGCAAAAATCTCAGCTACCTTTCTTCAACTTCACACACACGCATTTGAGGTACGGATAAAAAGAAAAAAGAACATTACACAACACAACCCGCTCGCGTCAAAACGACGTCGTCCGATATGCTGAATTTCACCCGACTTTAGCTGAACGTGAAGGAAAAATGGAAATTAAGGCCGCCGGCGATTCTCTTAACCATCCCGAGGCCCCGAAACCCTAACCCTAATTCCCAAACATGTCTTCATACCCTGAAAAACCCCCAGCCTTAAACCCGAGAAAGACGAAGAAAGAGCGGCGCCGGAGCTGGTCTGAACCCGTTTTCAGCGGCGGCGCCGACCCGAGCGAGACGTTGAAGCGTGTCGTGCTCAAAATGCGCCACCATTCAATTTCCAACTCCGGGTCAACCACCCCTTACTCGGAGTCCGAACCCGACTCCGACTCGTCCAGCCATAACCCGCTCCCCGCCGCCTCGGATTACATCTCCTTGTTGTCCGATGAATTGCTGTTGAGAGTGTTTGGGAAAATATCGGACACGAAGCAGCACGTTTCCAATTCCTTGGTTTGCAAGAGATGGTGTTTTCTCTGCGGAAAGTTGGTCCGATCGGTGAAGTTGTTCGACTGGGAGTTTTTGGAGTCGGGAAGGTTGACTTTCCGGTTCCCGAATCTGGTCGACATTGATATCGCGCCGGCCTGTATCAAATCCGAGAGGAATTCAGGGATTTTGCTGAGCAATAAGTTATTGGGGGTTTACTTGAATTCCTCCGTGCTGGATACCGATGGGTTTTTCATCTGTAAACGGGACATTTTGGATTGCTCGGCTGTCGATAGAGGGTTGAGGATATTGTCCATGGGGGTTCGAAATTTGAGACGGGCAATCTTGATGAACTCCACAGCAGAAGGTCTGAGTTGTTTGGCCGAGGAGTGTGAGTTGTTGCAGGACTTGGAATTGCATTACTGTGGTGATTTTGCTCTGAAAGGGATTCATAAGTGCCACAATTTGCAGATCCTGAAATTGATCGGGAGATTAAACGGGGTTTACGATTCAACAGTTACGGATATTGGGTTGACAATCTTGGCTCAGGGGTGTAAGCGATTAGTAAAGCTCGAATTGGTGGGTTGTGAGGGGAGTTATGATGGGATTAAAGCGATTGGGATGTGTTGCCCGATGCTTGAGGAGCTGACACTTGGCGATCACAGATTGGAGGGTGGTTGGTTGTCGGCCCTTTCGTATTGTGGGAATTTGAAAACTTTAAGAATACAGTCGTGCAGGTGTATTGACGAGAGCCCGGGACCGGATGAGCATATAGGGTTTTGCCTGATGCTCGAGGAGTTGCATTTGAGTCGGTGTCAAATGCGGGACAAAAGGGGCATTTGGGCGTTGTTTTTGGCTTGCCGGATTATTCGGGAGCTGGTTATCGAGGACTGTTGGGGTCTGGATGATAGTGTATTTTCCTCTGCAACCATTTTTAGGTATGAAGTTTATGATTCTAAATTCTGTGTGCTTTATAACATGGACGTTGAGCTTTGGTTGTTTTTGTTATCACAAAGTTATAAGATTTCTTTGAATGCAAACGCTTGAGAGTTGGAGTATCTATTACTTGATGCGATCTACAGTTATTTGAGAAAATGTAGAATTCTATATCTTCAAGCATACTTAAGGAAATCAAAGTATGATATTTTTTGCCTGGAAGTAGAAGGTCTCGGTTAGTCAATTTAGCTACGTTTTCTTAACATATCTATATATGAACACAGCTTTGTGTCGGTTCGGAAAATTCACTATTCTTTACAGGATAAGTATTGAAAAATCTTGATGTTTTAGTTAGTTTTTGTCCTCTCATCAGTTACTGCATATCTTGCTTCATGTGCTTTTGTACAAAATGAGCAATTAATCAATTCACGAGCTTTTGTAGACAGTCATTAATCTGGCTCCACATTGTGGGTTCTATAATTGCACCATGCCTTTATGTCACAGATGTGTATATTTTCTGAATGAAAAGTGATTGGCATTGATAAAGTCTTATCTCCTCTACTAAGGGGAAGACTGTGGGCAGTGCCGGGACCAGAGTCTGAGCTGTCAGATCACACACACACACACACAGATACGTGTGGATGTGTGTTGATCTAACAGCTCAGACCTCAGCTTGGGAATAACATGAACCAATTGTCTGAAATTGTAGAAATTGACGAATTTTTTTTATATATTTTTTTGTATTTTGTTTTGTAGGAGTATAAAGTCTCTTTCGCTCGAAGGATGCTCGTTGCTAACAACAGAAGGATTAGAATTAGTAGTTCTTTCTTGGAAGGATCTCCATCGACTTAAAGTTATTTCGTGTAATAATGTTAGGGACAGTGAAATAACACCTGAAATGGCCCTCTTATTTTCCAATCTCAAAGAACTGAAATGGAGGCCCGATGCCAAGTCCATTCTCACAGCGGGCCTCATGGATACAGGAATCGGGCTGAAAGGCGGTCGGTCTTTGAGAAGAAAATGATTTTTGAAAGGTTTTCATCAAATTTTGTAACTCCATAACTGGGGAATAAGTTTTATCTATCTACTATATAATTAGGCAACACATTTGCCATTTTTAGAAAGTTTTATGTGGGTCCTACCATACACTTACTATTTTTGGAAAATTCTCACATTCTTTTACAAGTGTTATTAACACACGGTTAGTAAGTTTTGTTACACGTTAAAATACACCCCAAAAATATATAATTATATATATATATGCAATATATATGCATATATGTAATAATTATATATATATATATATATATGCAATATGCAATATATGTAATAAATATTAAATCACATAATATAAATAAAGAGTATTTCGTAAATACCTTTTGTATTTATTGGTAATATCGCGATAACATAAAAATATGACTTAAATGTTAAATGGTAGGTAGTTAATTATTTTAAACTTATAAATTTATGTTCATAAAATATTTTGTTTTTTAATACGTAAATCAGTCAAACATACTTAACAACACTAAACAAAGTCCAAAATAAAATACCATCACAAGATTTTTATTTTTAAAAATATAAGTATTAACGGCAGTCTAACATATGGAAGTTAAAAATACACCACTAAAACCATGAAAGTCAGTTTGAAAATTAAAGTCAGATAGAAGTTAACACACGTTTTAAGTTTTGTTAGAGGTTAAAAATACACCCTAAAACCATGAAAGTGTTAGAAGTTAACACATTTGTTAGATGTTAAAAATACACTCTAAAACCATGAAAGTGTTAGATGTTAAAAATACACCCTAAAAACATGAAAATCAGTTTGAAAGTTAAAGTCATATAGAAGTTAACACACGTTTGTAAGTTACATTGTTAGTGGCTTGAATAGTGCAAATTATTTTTTATTTAGTAAGATATATATAGGTTGTAGTTTATAAATACGCAATTGATTACTCATTTATGTACCATCACATTCACATCTCTCTCACATCTTATTTAAACAATTGCTTACACACTTCTAAAGAAGGTATAAAAAATAAAATGGAGTGTCAAAGTCCGTGTGATGCGATATTATGAAAAGACTGCTTTCAAGATCGAAATACCGTTATCTAGAATTGATAAAACTACTATGGCAAAATTGAAGATAAATTTTATGGTGAAACTTCAAATAAAAAGTTCCCGAAGTTTATATATAACTTCAAAAATTTTACCGATTTGGCTAAAGTCTCCGTTTGTAAGGACTTATTATTGACCGGTAATTATATATCTTATGCATATCAAAAATAAAATATATATTTTAGTTATTGAGGATTAATTTATATGAATGTCATACCTGAAGAACTCTGTATTTATGCATGACCAACTTTACGTCGTTGTTTCACGAGTTACAAATGAGAAATGATATAAAATATTAATTTGTGATGATAAAAACAGCTCAAAACTTTATGTCGTTGTTTCATAGTTACAAATGTGAAAGGATTGAAATTATTAATTTGTGATGATAAATAGAGCTCAAAGACGAAGAACATTGTATATAATGAATTGTTCAATAATATTTAATCGTTATGAATTTGTATGAATTGCAAATGTTTAATGACTTTATTTTTTGTAGCTCCCGTGCATTTGCACGGGCAACTATATTAGTTACAGTAAGTGTAGAAACTAGAAAGAGTTGTTCTGTTTTACTTTTTGTTTTTNTAAATTTGATTTTATGTACCGTTCTTTCCCATCCTATTCTAAACGGGAGGTTAACATGTATGCTAGATTTTTGAGACTTTTTTTTATGAGTATGGAACTATGGATGGATATTTTTTTTATAATAAAAAACAGGATACAAGAATAAATGAAAACGTCAATGTTTATATTTTTATTTTGAAATTAAGAAAATAAATACACCACAATTAATAAGGTACTAATATTAAAATTTCGAAGACATTATACATTGATTTTAACAACTGTGGTAAACTGCTAAAATATTTGTACGAGATTGTTGATTTTACAATTATTAGAATGTAAAGAATAAAGTAACGTGTCAACTAACGATTATTAGATAATTTAAGCACTTTTATAGAAACTGAATAATCTTCTCTGCCGAGTGCCGAATTGTTTTCTAAAAAATAATTAGTTATTTATTTATTCTTAATACAATTATGCTTTTTTAATAAATAATAATTAGTTATTTATTCAATACAATTATGTATTACCCAATAATGCAATATAACCCAAACCAATTCGGACTCGGAATATTTTGTCATCTCTTCGTACGTGGCGACCAGTAATTGGTTAGACCATGTGTTCGCGTTTTAGTCTTTATATAAATAGAAAAATACAACAAATATTCACATTCTTTTGATCAACAATCGATCGATCTGCAATTTGGAGAACCCCAATCGATTGAATTCGCGTGCTGTCAGAGCTATAGAAGATTAAGGTGAGCATCTAATTGCCTCCAGCTTATTTTATCTTGTAATTTTCAGTTTTCATGGTTTTCGATTTGATCGGTGGATGCATATTTTTGTTTATGCAATGGATTTTAGTTAGCAATTGGATTAACAGGATGGTTGAATCTAGTCGTGCTTTTGCTTACGAAATTTACCATTCAATCCTGTTATTTGATTTCGCGATTAAAACGATTTTACCATTCAAGCCCGTGATGAATCTCTGTTTGTTCTTCTTGTTTTCAGCTGAGATCTGTGTTTGTAGGATTTGATTTAGTGGTTTTACATTCTCTTTTGAGGTATGTAGTTGTAGTCCCGGGATTAGTTAGCCGCCTAAGCTTAGACCATTGACATGCAAAGGCATGGTGATAAAGGGATCGTGCCTTGAGTTATTTTGTGTTTCTTTCCTGGTTGTTTTAAAGTAGTTGTTCCAAACACAAGCGCTTGTGGAAATTGTGGATTAATTTTTCCTGAGCTCTGCAATTTGTAAGTTTGTGATAGACTTGGAGAGACAGTTGAACATACTGGAAATGGGATTAACTAATTATTGTGGAAAGGGATGTTCCATTGTGTGTAGGTAATAGAAATTACGAATACCCAGTGGAGAGACAAAGTCAAAGGATGCATGTTCAGATATATGTTTTGTTTGCTCTTTTCATTTTCCATTTGGCTTTCTTATTTTGCTTCGAGCAAGCTTTTGTCTTGAAATGCATATACTATGTTTCCAGTTGATAATTTATATTCCTTCTTAGTACACTTATACTGGCCACTTTTTCACATGTTTGCTAATCTACTTTTTGGCTACCTGTACTCTGTAACCAAAATAGGGCTCCGGAGTTCATACCACCTCGTTGTTCTTTCCATCACAAGCTGTTTCCTTCCCCCCTCTCTCATCACTGAATGTTAATTAACTAACTGTGCCTCTTTTTGTGCTCAGATCTTACTTGTGGTTGGGTATATTCTGGTTTTTTTTTTTTTTTTTTTTNTTTTTTTTTTTTTTTTTTTTTTTCTGATTTGAAGCTTGAAATCGTTTGGTGCAGAGATGGCGACAGGTGGAGGTGCTCCGCAGAGGGGAACTGCAGCAGCGGCTGCTGCTAACCTGCGCAGGAGGAGGACAGCTGGCAGTGGTGGGGCCGCAGGAGGAGCAGGAGGGACCATGCTTCAGTTCTACACAGATGATGCTCCTGGCCTCAAGATTTCTCCTAATGTTGTGCTCGTGATGAGCATTGGTTTCATAGCCTTTGTTGCCATACTACATGTCGTGGGCAAGCTCTACTTTGTCCGTAAAGAGTGAAAACTTTTTTGGCTTGTTGGCACGTCTCAAGTGTCTTGGGTTTCAGGCAAACAGTAAAGTAGTGTTTGTTTTAGGATATGATTTTGTGGAGAATGTTGCTAAATCTTATGTTGATGGGATTTTGTCATGAGCGAGGTTGAAAGCTGAGTACTTGGGTTGCATGCAGTATGAAGGAAACCTTTGTTTAACAAACAAACTCTAGTTCTTTCTTAGTTTCCTTTTTGACCTTTTCAAGAGTCCCATATGTTTTATCATACAATGTTTGCTATCTTCAAATTTCGGCATTACAAATCTGGGAGCATTCATTTCCACCTAGACTCTATATACCAAGTAAATTATTAATTGGTATTGAGATGCTAAGGTGGACTAAAATTTAGTGTGTTAATGCAAGATTATGAAATTGGGTCATTGAATCAGAAATTAATGATGTGCTTGTCGCAGGAAACAATGAATTTGAAGTTCATGATAGAGATGAGTTTGCAAAATTATAGAAATTTGTTTGCTACTTCCACTAAGCTGGTTAAGATTGATGTCTTAAAATTGACAGAAACAAGTTTGTGTACACATAATGATCGTGTTGTGTGATTCGGGTTATATTGTCAAGTGTGCAGAGTCGTTCAAGTGAACATACAATACAATCAACGTTGTTTGTGTCCCCCCCAGTCTATTAATGTAAAATGGTTCTATTTATATATATTTTTTCTTACAAAAACAAAGAAAATGAACAATATAAGGGCAACATCTACCATTCATTAAATTACGAAGTACTATTCCTTCAGTGTCGTAAGTACTTAACATAAGATGGTCGCCAGTGACAATAAACAAATTAAGCACTGTCGTAAAATGGGCCATCCAAATTGTATCAATACAGTGAATTAAGCACACTGAATGATTATAAAATGAGATGCCCAGATCGTATCTATAGTCTAATCAACAGTAAGGACTGTATTTACAAATCAAATTGTCACAATTCTACATAGCTTTTACAGTTACAAGCAGAGGTCTTAATGCATATTGTCAGGGATTCCGCCAGACACGACACTATCATCCACAGGTTTGGGGCCCCCACAAGACCTAGACACCGACTCAAACAGCTTCTCAATCTCAGGCGCACATCTCGTGAAACTCCGACTCCAAAAGTTGTACCTTGGGTTCTGCCATACAGAAAAGAACAAAAATGTGGGTATATGATAAAAAAAAACACGCAAATTTAATTTACCATGAAATTGGAAGAGAAATTAACATTACCTTGATGAGCTCGATAAATGTTATCAAAAGTCCCCATGGATGAGGCCTGTTAACTATCAGACGTTCCAGTAGGACCCTCGTTATTTGCTCCTGAATCATTTCCTGCTAGAATTTTTAAATGTATAGTCAGAGTCTCATTCATCATATTCGTGTATTAATGAAAAAAAAAAAAAAATGATGAGTCAGCAAGTATACAGGCGTACCTGGTTCGACTCAGCAAACAAGTAAAGGAGGATGAAAGAGAAGTAATGAGTGTGATTGTTGGGATAACGTAATTGGTTAGCAACGGCATTAAGGAATAGGTAGCGACCCTCTGTGTCAAGTTCCATTATCAATGTCTGGAAAATGTCCAAAGCAGCACTCACTAAGAAGGCATTCATATTCGCCATGGATTGAGAAGGGGCTCTTGCTTGCAGCTGCTGAATAGCCTATAGATAGAGTTTCAGAAGGAGCTCAGGAATAATGAAGGATAAACTGTAAAGCTCAACTTCATGATTATTTGGTTAGTGCCCATACAGGGTAAGAAAGGTCTGTCATTATTGCATTACTCATCGAATTTGTAATACCAGAATATAAATTTTAGAAAGCTGTTACGAAAATGAACCCATGAGTGCCTGTATTGAGTTGAGAAAACAATTGTGATCTTGAAAAATTAGGGATTTTCTGTAACTAGGTCACAGAACTCAAGGGTACTGTCGGTAAATTATCTTTTTATCATATTGAATATACTTCATTGGTGATTTATGGGGACTGGTTTTACCTGCATTCCGACATAAAGTACAAGGGAATTTATCAGAGGAACATTGTAGCGGGTCCCAGCACGAGCCGCATCAATTGGAGAAAGTAGCAGCTTTTGTTTCAACTCGGACAGAAAAGAGGACCCTTGTTGCCTCGTCTGTAGCATAGGGTCATACGAGCAAAGGAAAAAAAATCAGGATGAATAAAAAAAAAATATTTAATGTGGTTTTCATTGATGTTCACCTTCAGATACTCATCAACTTCATTCTTGATTTGCTTCGCTTTTAGAGCCGCATCAACCTCAGAAAGTATTCTAGGCGATTGACTAATCTCCGCCAGTAAATCAATCTTCACAAATATAAATCAATTAATTTTAAAAATTGAAATTTACAGACCAATATGTACACATTTTGAATCTTCTACGTACCTTTAAGTTGGGAGTTGATGGATCTGGAAGCCTCATATTGCGAGGAAATGCACTCAAGATTATATTTCGCATCTGTATGCAGCTCGGGGGGATGACATCACAAAAACTGAAATGATAATCGCAAAGGAATTCTGGAAAATCATGAAGCAACACCAACAATACTCTGAGAGTCCCCTTGTACAGAAAGTGTGCCTAAAAGAGATTCACAAAATAACAGAGTGAAATTGACTAAATCAGCAGAATAAAAGGTTTTAGAACTAAGGAACATTCGCATAAACTGATTACAAACCGGCTCTCCAAGTTCAGCATTCCTAAGGAATGGCTCCATAAACTGAAACATGTCCACCAGCAATCTCTGGAAATAGGGCCATCCCTTCTGTGCATTTGCTGTCAGTAACTTCGGCATGAAACTTCTGTGACTGACCAATTCCAGCCACGCAAAGCTGAAAGCAAGAAAGCCGATTTAAGCGTAAATAACGCATATATGGTCTTGAAAAGATTAATCACAACTGTCCAAGCTATAATAAGTCAGAATTGAAACTCAAGGCAATATTATTAACCAACAATCCCCTTGTATTGAAACAGAATGCTCAGAGAAGTTACAAATAAAAAGGGAGTTGTAATTAATGAGTAGGCTGAGATGTAAAAACCAGAAAGTTTTTACCACCAGCTAAGAATCAAACACAAACCTGAACCCTGGGACCTTGAGAGGTTGAATTGCATGGAAAGAATTCGCTAAAGCGGTCAGCACCTGAAAGGTTTAGTTTGATTCTTTGTTAAGGAAAACAGAGAAAAATCTAAAGCAGTGATCACAGATGAACCTGTGATCACTGACAGAAGATAAGATAAAGTTCCAGTAGATATATAATCAAACTGCAGCATATACCTGAAAGTTGGCACCATCAAAAACTGGCTCCAAGGAACACATATCAAGCAGCCAATTAATAAACAGCCTAAAATACGGCCTGGGATTAAAAGCCATCTTCTTCTTCTCAGCATCTTTTTGGATAAATTTTACGGTCACAGCCAGCACCTAAGGAAACATTGACCACGGCAGAATATATTAACCATCCAAAAGATTCAATAGAGCTCAGCAGTTGAATTCTTACCTTCGGCAGAAGAGAGAGCTTATTGGATCCCTGATCTACGGGGCAAAACTGGAAAGAAAACTCAAAATCAGATGATACATATCGAAGAGAAAAAAAAATGGGGTGCCAGCTAAAATGTGGACAGGCCAATTAAACTATGCTTACCTTCAGGATTGAGAACACCAACTTCGCATAGATATCAATAGCTAGGAAAGAGAGTGGCTGTCCCTGATGCGACTGGGAAGGGCTAGAATTGATCACCTCAGAGGATAAACAATGCGATACTGAGAGTTCCTGATTTTGAACCGACAGAAGTTCAATTTTCCAGTCGAACAGTTTATATAAGGCCTCGGCGGAAAAAGAAACTGTACCATTATACGGCGAAAAAAACGATCTGAAGTTTCATCTCCTTTTAGCAGGCCTTTCTGATGCAAGTGTAAAACATAACGAGCGCAAGCAACATCATTTGCTCCAGGAAGTTCACATATTTGGTACCATTCAGCAAACAACACAGAAACCTATATGCAGCATATGAAGAGAAAATAACAATAAATACATCGAGAAATTAACATACCCAACATAACTCTGTAGCTTCTTACAAGCAAGAATTACCAGGTGAGAACCCACAAAAGTATCTTTTACGTAAACAGTACAAACTCCAACAATTTCAACTTCCTACTGCTAATTTGTAACATTCAAAGTAGTAAACTAATTTAGCACCTGTTCATGAAAACCAGCAGGATCTGAATCCGTCAACTCCGTGGCATTGTAGTCTTCCTTGCCTGCTGCAGGAGGCAGGGTAGCCTGTTCCAGATAAATTCAGGTACAAAATTCAGATAACAAGACAAACACAATAAGATATGCAAACACAATATCAAAGATGGAACAAGTAAAAGGAAAAAGGAAAGCTCGAAAGGACCTTTTTGTCCCTAGAGGTTTTCGTTGAGTCCTCTTTCCCACCCACAGATACCATAGCAGCAGCATTAGCAGGGTTCTTAGCAATTTCAACCAGTTGTTGTAATGACTCTGGAGATCCAGGTCTTGCAGCAAGCTGAACAAACACTCATATCAAGACACCCACACGCACATAAAAACGAAGGGAAGAAAGAATATGCAAAATTGTGATACAAATGTGCAAGATCATGCCTTTGCTAGAGCATCAACAAGATTGTGTAGTTCTGATAGCACTTTGGAATCGTTGATAACTAATGTCTGGATAAGAGAAATGGCAAATTCGGTTGCAGGCTCTGCAAATTATAAGCCAGTGTAGTGTAAACATTTATCGGATTCAACAAATTGAACAAAAAATTTGTGATACACACTGTTTCTTCCTGCGTCAAGAAGCTTAGCCATATGAACGTTATACTCAGCAAGGTTCAATAATTCACTCCGAATAAGACCAATAGTGATATCTTTATTGAACTTCCTATCCTCCTCAGAGTAAATCACCTGTCAAAAAACAGTTCAAGAAAAGGGTAAATAACAATCTCCTTGCAATGGGACAGGTTATCAATGCATCAAACTTCACCTAGGATTTAATGTGTAACGATGATTCAGCATTTGAAATCATCAACAAAAGCAAATAGAATGAGGGACTAAGTAAATCGTTCTAGGCAAAAAGCTTCACATCATGAAATTACGAAAAAATAATTGCATCGACAAGGACTTGACAGTGTTAACAATGAAAAAACAATAATTGGAGCTACAATTTATTGGAACGTTATGGTCTTATACTTATCCAAACCACAACGGTGATCATATTATCAAGTGCCAAACTACCCCCATTTGTTTTGTTTGAGGAAATTGCCACCCTTCATTCTCAAATCTCACATAGGACATGAAACAGAAATCTCGTATGACAAAGCAAATATATACTTATAGACCACAATATTGGCTCCTTCAAATTGAAACATCCTTATAAACAATTCAATATTCATGAACAAATACTAAAAAATATTCACAACAAGCTTATAAATATTTACTCATGACATCCATGTAACAATTTTTCTGAGGTGGGTGCAGGGCGAACGAAGCAGATATTTACTCATGACATTCAACAACTTTTACGTATTTTAATTAATCCAAATGTAGTAATTTGTATTAAACATATCAAAGATAAATATACTTGTTAAAGCAATTTTTCCATACCCAACTAGTGAGTTCCTTCACTACGAGCTTGCTAACATCACGAATGGCAGCCAGGATAGCAAGGTGAGCATCGACATGAGCACTGTTGGATGCATTCTCATACAAGCCCTTAAAAGCCTACAGCATTAAAGTAAAAAGAGAATATATATAAGAATTATTTCCGGCGTCATTTAAAAAATATCTGAAATATTCATCACCTTCTGAGCCACAGCCAATGCAGCCTCATCCCGGCTAATGCATCTCATGATGACTGGAGGAACTTCAGCAATCACTCCCTACAATAAATCAAATTCGCAATAAAGTAAAGCAGACAAAGAATTCACCAAAAAGAAACTATAACAAGAATCATTTTAAAACATATCCAGCAACAGAAAACAACTACTGAAGAAAATGAACGGGTCTGATGTGGATTTTTACCTGAATTTCACCGTCCTTGGCATCATTAGCCACCAACTTTTCAAGCTGAAAGGAAATTAGATAAAGAACTTAGTTAGTCTTTTAATGAAACAAACAAGGCATAGTGATGTCCACCCAATTACATGGATACCAAGTCCTCAAATGATCAGCAATCCAAAAGCCATCCAACCACATGTACAACATATGCTAGGAGGAGAGGGATGTTTAACAAACCTTCTCTGAAATAGTCTGATACTTATCTAGAGCATCGCCTGTGGTCATCAAATGCTCTGAGACCGCACTTCCAGGACGTTCCGAAGCCAAAGGTGCATTTACAGGCTGCACAGCAATTGCAGGTTCCTGCAGTGTAGTACCACAGATCAATAAGAACACATCTAAAATATTACAGTATTACACTGCATTGTAATTACCCACTTTGACAGCATTTGAAGGTTCCGCCACTTGCGAATCCGGCGAAGAATCAGGACGAAATGAAGTAACCGTATCATTTTCAAAGCTTTGTGCAGCCTCACCAATTGCAATGTGGGGCGAGGAAACACTGTAACATCACCATATTCGTCGCAGATGTATGAGGGGAACAAATCAGACTTCTGGGAAATAAGTAATAGTAAGAAAGAAGAGAAAAAAAACCTTGCAGGAATCTGGGATCCAACTGATTCCGTGTCATCCTGATCAATTTCCAGAGTCGGGGGAACAGCACCATGTCCAGTGTTTACGAGGCCAGATGAGAAAATGCTTGCGCTTATTTGGCCAGATGGAGTTGTGGATGCAAATGCTCGAGATATTCCACCACTGCCAGGCGAAGCAGAAGGACCAACAGGTGGAGAATTTGAGCTCTGAGTGGGGAGATTTTGTGGTGGAAACCGAGCAAAATCCTACAAGCAAAAAGGAAAAGCAGTTATATATATACAACTTATTACCAGCTAATTCATCAGGGAGAGATGTTCCAAGAAGCAACCACAGAGAATATCAACCTCATAAACTCGCTGCTGTGAATGCGACAATTGGCCAGGTTTTGGTCGAAGGGCCTCTGGTAAAACACCCATTTGACCTTGGGCATACAGGCTAGCATCAAAAAATGTGGGAGCAACACTCTCTCTATGTTTTCTCCTAATAGACAGCTGTTGTGCAATTTCTCCATCGATGGTTTGAACTGCCTGCAACCGAAATTAGCAGCAGGAAAATGTCACTTCGAGATCCAGAAATAGTGGGCATGAGAAAATGAATGATTCTACTAAACTGCACTGTCCTAAAAATCGGCCTAGGCGGCTGCCTAGGCGCTAGGCCCCGCCCGGCCGCCTCCAATTTGCATGAATCGGCCAGGCGTCTAGGCGGGCTTGGCCGATATTTTTCAGTTTTTTTTTTTAAATACTAATTACATTATTTTGTTATCATGTTTTCTTTATAACATATCAGTATTATTATTTGGACTTAGGTGTCTGGATTAATTATAAGTTTGAGATAGTTTTATTTTGTAGGTAGTGAACTCTCTAGGCGCTAGGCGCTGGTCAAGAGCCAAGCAACTTCTGAAACACTGCTAAAATGTATCAGCACCAAGCTACAGCTATAGTTCTATTTAGATTATTTTGCCTACAAGGAACTTATGCTTGTTAAACTAGCATCAGTTATGATTCTTCATTTCCATTCTGCAATCACTTGTCAGAGAGCTCCGAAACATGGAACCATAGTTATACAGTCATACTTCAATATCAATGATCACTTACCTTCTCAGTTGCAGCTTGTTCAATCAACACACAGCCAAGATCTAGATTGTCATTAGTCACAAGTTGAACTGCATTTTCAAGAGTATCACTTGTTATGCTCAAGCTCTGAAGTGCGTTCCTTATCTGTCCTGATATTGAGCCACGCAAAGGTTCCTAAAAGTGAACAAGAAAAATCTCGCTCAATATCACAAAAGCTGGGGTAAAAAAGTGTATGAATTCACAATATTACAGATGAGTTAATAATAATAATAAATCTCTACCTTGCACGTTACATGAGCTAGACTCCCAGCCAACCTCGCAACCATCAAATGGGCTGCATTTCTAATAAGGGTCTCATCTGGTTCCATGGCATAATCCTGTCAATATAGAACAAATAGTTTTTTTAAACCATCTTTCTCCAAATTACAACTAAAATAACTGCAGTTGTCAATTTTGCAAAATCAGAAAAAAGACAACATTTGTACCTTCATAACAAGTTCCTTGGTTGTCAGTGTTGCTATAGAAACACTTCGTTGAACAATACTGGACACAATCTCCTTAACCGCCCTATCCATGGCAATTGGAAGTATACTGCAGCAAAAAGGGAGTACTTAAAAAATAATACTAGTTCATTATGAAATGGAATTGAACAAATTTCATTCACAAACTCAATACCTCTGGACATGCACGTGTAGGCCATATGACTGAAGCTTTTTATTGACAATAACTTGTTGTTCAATATTAGCAGCTGGCACAGGAAGCTGCAAACATAACATAGTTCATGATCCAGCAGAGAAATTTCGACTCAAACAAACATGGATATAGAAGCAACCAAAATAATAGAGAACCTGATTAGCTGGAAAATGTGTATGTCCTTGTAGAAGGCCATGTGCAGATGGGAGCTGATCAGAAAATCCCAGGCTTACCAACTTTTCATCTTCCGTTATCGTTCCAGAGGAATGATGAAGAGGCGCCGCATACTGAATCCAGAAACACATCAGTATCAAAGTCAATTAGTGAACTAAAATAGAGCTAATGAAGCACAAACCTGAGATAATATTCGTGAATGTCCTCCAGCATGAGCAGGAGCTGCAACATCCAGTGGTACCTCCACTTGGTTCTGAATCGATACTACACCAGACTTCCCTTCACTTGGTATTGGTGGTAGTGAAGATCCAACGTCCTTGTTGGAGAAATCAGGATTACCTTCAACTTCTCTAACTTTATCCTTAAGAAGAGAAGTTGGTTTTACATCCTTAAGGTCCACACCAAGGTTTTTGAACAGGACCTGAGAGTAAAAGAAAACTTAAGTACAACGCAAGTATCCACTAAAGCGAACGGATTTCCTGGTATATATAACAGATCAGTTAAGGAAATACCTCAATCTCAAACTTGAGATTCATTTTCAAATTTGGCATTGCATAAATCTCAGCAAGCAATCCAAGAATACCCATAGTCCATGGATTAGGAGGTTGATATGCAAGACTGTTAGAACATGGTTCCAAAATCTGGAACACGCATAGAATATATGAGAGGAGAGAGACAGATAGCAGTAACAAGGCATCACACACATCGACCAACAACCACATAGCATACCTTGGAAGTAAAAGGAATAACTGCTATCATGAGCCCCCTTTCATATGCCTGCAAAAACACACCAATAGACTCGATCGACAGAACTTACACAAAAGAGGATAAAGCAACAGAATTGGCATCATTTCCAAGGCCATATTGAGTAATAAAGTGTGATTATGAAAATATCTGCACCGACCAAAAAAGTGAATAAAAGAAAATCAACCTCTATAATAAGCGATTTGGGATCTATCTCTCGTGCCCTTAGAACTTGATTTCTGCCAATCGTTATCTTCCCAAGCCAGCTTCCTAAGTTTTTCAGCAATGAACGCTCTTCCACACTAGACTTTATAAGTTCAGATCCTAAGAGGACCTGGAGAGTAGCAAACACCAAAAATGAGCACCAATCTTTTAGCAGCGGACAAAGTAGATAAAGCTATCCAAACCTTGCAGTTCTCGTAAGTGGCTTGAACAATCTCCCTGTACAAAGGCTTTAGATTTACTTTATCAAGAAACTTCAAGTACAAATCATGAAAATTCATCTCGATGCTTGCTCTGCAAATAAGACATGAAGAAGATTTAGATTCCAATGTTTAACTGTTTCACAAAGCTGCAATAATTCCAGCACAAAAATGAAAGAACTCGAGCAATAAATTCTTTGAAAACCGAAATGCATGCCAATCCACATTAGATCATCGAAATATAAGCATTAATCAGACATGAGTCAATAAAATGAAAAGGACAACTCACCTTTTCATAACCATATACTGAGCAAACCAGGGATAGTACTGCTCAGTCAAAATTTCAGTAAATTCTTTGGCTTTAGCGTCAATAGTTGCAGCAGACAAGTTATTAATAGTGAAGGATATCTTATCCTGAATTTCTGAAGCAGGAGCCTGTTTGAAGATGGAACGCACAGCAAAATAATCAGACACCACAACGAACATATCATGGTCCCCACTCACTTATGGATAAAAAAATGATGATTTGAGTACATACACTTCATAGACAAATTTACTAAGTTCCTTTTATCAAATAAAAGCACAAACAAAGAAAACAGAATTCCACATCTCTCGTCATATAGTGTGTGTGCTGGATCTATTATCCTTTCTGTACTTGATGATAACAGAATCATGACTGGCAACCAAGAAGAAAAGAAGAACGAAAAGTTATCGGAGTATTATAAATCAAGAAAGCGCAGGTTCACAGGCAAGGAACAAAATGCCCAATGAGAAGCATACAATGCAAATGACATCTAAAAACAGTGGAAAACAAGCACCTCTATAGAAGTTTCTCTCCTCTCTGCTGCTGCAACAAGTGTTTCAATGTTTAAAGCAGAGCCAAACCCTGAAAACATGAATGAACTCTAAATGAGATCCACAAATCATGAGGCTAGGAGTGATGGCCACCATAAATGGCACATTTTCATTAACATACTAGAGCAAGCATGAATATAAGAACTTAAAGATGGGGTATACTTGCTGAGGGAACTCGAGATGGACGTAGAAAACTGGGAGAGGCAGAGTGTATTGGGGCCATGCCAATTCCACTGTGCGACTGCATTTTAGCTTTGATGATTAGTTTCAAAAATACAAGGTATATAAAAAGCAGGCATCTTGTACACTTGAACAGTAGATAGAATTCAATACTCAGTACTTACCTTTTGAATGCTAGCTGCATCACTTGAAGGAGCAATAGCAGGCTGACTTGAAGCAGACAGCGCAGGCTTCATATAATTAGACAGTATGGCAGAAGTTTTCCTCTCATCCAGAGAACCAGACGATCTCTGTGGAAGATTAATAGGAGAGGAGGCTTGCAGCCCCATTTGCGTGGTGCCAGGTCCAATCAGAGAATATGAGGACCCTGGAATCTGTAAACAAATGAACACTGGCTGAGCCTCCCAAAAGACAAAAAATATTGACTATGCCAGGAGTAAACAATACATCAAAGTGTGCTTGATCATTAAGAAACAGGAAACTTAAGCAACATTCCTCAACAAATTACATTGAAATGCAAATAGTACACAGGATCTACGACCAACTTACCATACACTAGGTAAAGACATTTGGAGTAAATATATCATTGCTTAATGGAAGCAACATAAAACATAGAACACCAGATGATAAGATCTTTGCAGGAGTGGTCAGAAAGATGGCCGGTTTCATATTGGAGTATTGGACACTGACTTGAAAAACTATTACACAGAATCAGGATGGACCATTTGAGTTACGAAAAATACGAATAACATGACATGTTCAAACTCAGCAGCAATATATTCAACCAAGTTCAGGGTAAAGTCCAATTGCTCGAGAGAGTAATTGCATTATAAAATTACCTCCACATTCATAGCAGAAGACTGGATTAACCCAGGATGGTGATCAGAAGTGACATTATGGACACCATCCGGCTCACCATGAGCCGCTGAAATTCTGTTAAGCGTCCTCTCAACAAATGCAACAAGATCTGAATGCGTAGCACGCAAATGAGATATCTGCAAGATGTGATTGCAATACTGCGGCCACTCTATGAGACGGTCAACAAACTGCTCCAATGCCTTCGTCCCAAAGGAGAAAATCTGCATGTTGACCCAAGGTCAATTTACATGAGAAAACTAATATATTGAACAAAATCAGTTCAGGATAGATACTAACTTTTGAATCTGTAGGTTTCCTCAATGAGTCCAAAACAGCTCGTAAAGCAATGCCAAGTGTTAGATGAGTCACAAGTTGATGCTTGATCAGTGATCCTGAAAGCAGAAAAAAATAAAATTAAAATTAAGTGCACTGTAATTAACCTTGCATAATACAGAACTATCAAAAACAAGCAATGAGGGATATAGCATAATATGAAGCCAAAAAGATTGCTTCATAAATTTTAGCAACCAATAAATTGTAATTGCCTTGTCCATTGCAAATGGAGCTGGAAGAGTCATTGTTGACAATTCTCCTGGCATAGTGCTAATAATGGACTAGATCAAAATGGCTCAATTAAATTCTAGTGCTTCTTCTATTAGTGAAGTTTCTAGAAAAAAAAAAATATATATCAAACGGCGCAATGCACCTTGGGTCACTACGGAAACAGCCTCCTTGTATAATTACAAGGGTAAGGTCTGCGTACAACTGACCCCCCAGACCCCAACCTGTTAGGAATATACTGGGTAGGTTGATGTTGTTGTTGTTGTTGTTGTAATAAATTGTAATTGCAAGTAAATTCATATATAACCATTATACAATGTCCGAAATACCATTCACCCTAAAGCTATAGACAACAACAATAATGATATAAACATGATAAGCAATAACTATATATTAAATAGAAAAAAACGAGCAAAGATTTTGGAAGATACAAAACAAGATCTCACCAAAAAGAATTGCAGCAATTCTCAGCTGCTTATCAGGGTATTTCGTGAAAAATTTGAATTCCTCGAACAGGTTAGCAATCATGCACTCGTAAATAGACTGTTCCCTGTCAGAATGTCCAATTCCCTCAAAAAGTTACGAACATTTCAAGCACAAATGAGGCAAACATATCATACTTGTACTCATCGTGAAATCAGTGAATTTAAGCGGCTGATTCACTCCTGTGTATATCACAATATAATTGAAATTCACGCGGTTTGAAGTGTTCTGCACATTTTACATGCTTAACATCTTTGACAATTGGGAGGTATTCATGATACTTCAAACATCCACAAGTCAAATACTAATTTTCCTGATCTACAGGTTCCACGTGAGTGAACTTTTAATTGAGCAAGTGCAATCTGAACAGCAAATGGGGGAAAGACTGAAAGACAGGTGTGAAAGGAAATAGATAGGGTACTCCTGTTTTGGAAAGGAAAGTCCCCAAAGGAGGATGCCCAGACAGGCAACTAGCTCAATAAAATATAATCCCGATATACTCCTACTGGAGACAATTTTCATTTTGTCACATAGAAACTACCGTCTGATAAAAATGATGGTTCAAAACGTAAATAAATATATCCAAAAAGTCATGCCTGATTCAGTGGCACACAGCAACATATATGATATAAAGGTGTCATTGTGTCTGAATTTCTGTAAGAGAAGTTCACATCAAGTCACACAGATGGACAAGTACTCTTAAGAAGACTTGCCTCTTATCTGAAGATTCCTTAAAGCGGGTAAGCATTTGAATCATATCATCAATAGAACGCTGACCAGAAAACATTTGATGAAAGATAGTGTTTGATTCAGTCTCAATGTCATCAGCGTAATTATCACCAGTAGCTGAGTCGGAGCTTGTGCCATTTTTAACTCTTGAATTAGCAAGCATATGGGAGACATCTAATTTATCAATTTCCTCAGACAAGTTACTGGAGGAAACCAAATCAGCATGAGACTGAAGGATCTGTTTTAACAAACCTTTCAAAAGGTTAGGGATCAGCAGATTGATCTGGAGGCAATGAGATTATTATAGAAACACCGTAATACCTTTAAAACAGTGGGACAAGCTTCTAAATAAATATTCAAAAGAGGAACAGGAGGATGAAAACGGTTCCCCGAAACGTCATGTGATCCAATCTGAACATCCTTCAGAAATTTAAGGCATTCCTGGTGGCATAAGTAAAACAGAGCTCAGTAGCATTCTTTATAAAACTTCAGAGTTGAATTTTCACCAGTAAAATCCACAAGAAAGAGAAGTTAATATCGATAATACAGAATTTCAAATTGGTATAAACCAATAGATGGTTCGGGTGGTAGGTGGTTCTTAATCACAGAGGAAAGTTTTACCTCATAGAAAGCATCTTTATTTGTCAATAAATGAGTACTCAACCAATCCTCAAGGTCCATGATTTCTTTCTTAGAGGCAACGGCAGCTATGCGAATGCCAAAGTAAAATGGAATTATATCCAATACTGAAGATAGAATCTGTAAGCGCAATAATCAAATATATTAGTGAACATGATATTTTGAGTAATGGATAACGAATGCATAAACCAAATTATGACAATTACTTCTTCTGTAAAAGCATCCATTTCAAGCTTGTGCAAATTTTTTACCTAGAAACAATCTTATAAAAATTCCATAAAGACCATGAACCCAGTTCAAAGCACTTATGACTATCAACTATTTTTCGTAGGAAACAACATTTAATGACTTTAAAGCGGAGTGTCTCGCCACACAATAAGAGATTATTTATTGAGAAAAAGGTACAAATTTAAACTCAATACGAAGCCAACCTTTAATTCCTGGCAGACATCCAAAATCCGGTAAACATTCTCTGAATCAAGACTCATCGCTTCTATAAGTCCTCGCAACAACATGTCTGGTTTAGCATGCCAGATATTAAAAATTAAACCTCTCCCTGATGCATTTCTTAGTGCCATAGGCAGAACAGCAGATGCAACCTCGTTCTGAATAAGATTGTATGCAGTCTGCATATCATATAACTAAGGGTTACAAGACAATACTTTAATGGGAAAAAATATCAGAATCAAAGGTGGATAGAATTCCAATACATTAACATGAGCCATTCCAAGAAGCAACAACTCAGGGCAGTTGTTAAGAGGTTTTTCAAGGACCAAACGGACAAGACTTGCATTTCCTCTCTCTGATAATTGACATAACACCTCCAGTAGATCAAGACATAACCAAGCGTGATTTGATTTTCCAGGTGGAAATGGTTCGGCCACAGCATCACCATAGGACTGTCAATTAAAACATGTAAAACATTCATTTGCAGGTCACGTGGAATTAAAATGTGTGGCAGGCAGTCAGGCAATCACTGCTCAAAGAGTTAACTGAAGCTATTAGGAGAATTACCAGTTGCCTTTCTGAATGAGCAAATGTAAATACTTCAGGCGGCACAGAGACTGCATACTTTAGAAATGATAACTGACCCTCGATATTCTTCCACACAAAGCCACAAATAGCGTGCAGCGGGAACGGATCCTACATACCAGATCCCATAAGATGAAATTAACAGGAATTATAAGGCTGCTTAGTTACATGCCTATCATGATTTAAACACTGATCCAAATTTTCTAATGGTACCTGGCAAGCATGCCTATAAACTGACATAAAAAGTGAAAATGCTGCCTCATTAGGGATATAGAAGCCCTCGTGGTCCAGCTTCTCCATTACACTTATCCAGTTAACTCCTGGAGTCTGAAAACGAGACAACCAAACCAAAAGTGACACAATAAAATCAACATAAAGACCCAAAACTGATGGCTAGATCATCATTAAGCATGAAGCTAAAACTCTTGGAGCTTACAAGCTGCTTGATAGACTCTACAAGGACTTCTACATTCCAAGAAGTCAAAGATGGTGGATCCAGATCATTATTTCCACCAAGAGCAGAACGGAATGCAGCAAACACGTTTTGACTGTCATCAAAACCTGTGTAAGTTCTTGCAATTGTACCAAGTATCTTCGCAATTGTGGCATCAGAAAGCGGCAAGAAAAGTGACAAGATGTCTTTGCACTGAGAGACATTGGCTGTGCATCCATATCCTAATTCACTCATCACATCAGCCATGCTGATTTCCTTCTCCATTTCCGCTAGAATGGCATCAAAATCATCTTCGTCACCCTCATTCAACAAATCTAAGTGCCTGCAGCAAAATAAACAAAGAAAAGGAGAAACAAATTAGCTCCAGCATAAAGTCAGCCTGCACAATTGTTAGTAAGAACTGTCTATCTGGAATTTTTAAGAAAAACTCTCGCCAAAAGAAAAGCATGAAAAGATCCATAGGAAACACCTAAATAAATTCTCTGCACGTAATTCATCAGGAAGAAATGGTGCTAAGGTAAATTGGGCCCCATCCCTCAACCGTACAAGCGACAACATTTGCATGAATGAATCTACATGCTTGGAAAGGCCTTCAGAACGACTAAGAAACATGATAATATGCTGAATTTTCTCAGTAGACTCAAATGCCTCGGGATTTGCACACAACTCTGCAATCTGATTCATGCAGAAATTTTTTCCTGCAGCAAGCGACGATGGACAGGTTGAGAATGAAGAAAAAAGGGGGGGAAATATAACAAATGAGAAAGAACTCTGGTGAGATATCAAAAAGCATTATAATATATTTATTCCAAGTTTAAAGTTCATCCGAGCCTCTGACACTAAAAGCCCAATGTCTGATCATCAGTCTAAAGAGATTGAAAGAACTAACCACACATTCTGATATCATGATTTTTCGAATTGGACAGTGCAAGACCAATCCCAATATTCTCAGACATCGACAAGTGTAGTGCACCAGACAGATTCTGCAGTAATTCTTCATTTATTGGAGCAGTCCTCAGTGACTCACATAACACGGTACTAAAATTTGGTTTATCCAATATATGTTTGAATATCGAAGCATATATGGGGTGCAGCTTCATAGTTTTCAAATCCTTGCCATGGATATTGAGGTGATCCCAACACGTCTGAAGCAGTAGTATGCTCCCCTCCAATCCATGCATTGAGTACTGTAAGTTAAACATGTTACAAATACAATCGCCATAAAAAACAATGACACCCCAATAACTGTCAGCAATGTGATCACAAACAAACACAGCCCAACTGTTGTTATCTCTGACAGATACAATCAATAAAGCTGAGAGACATAAAAATCACTGAACAAAACAACGCGCAGCTACTCAGGTAAGGTTTCCAACAGTACTAATTACAGAATACAAAGGCAATACAAAATCCCAATCAAAAAAAGCTTGTACATGGCAGTAAACAGACACGAGGTAGATCGAAAAAAAAAATGCAAGAAAATATATAAAAAATAAATGTATGCACCTTGCATAGCTCTTGAAAAACAGAATCGGAGTTGGAGTCAGTCAAACCCTGCAGCAGAAAACGAATCTGACTGGAAACCTTGGAGGAAAACGGAATCATCGTTGAAGAAGAAGATCGAAATCCTTTTCCTCAGCTGAAGTATTTTACACAATTCGGATACAAAATGTTAGGGTTTCCAAAGGCTAAAGAGATCGCAGAAAATGTGAAGACGATAAAATACAGTACAGCAATAGAGTCGAGTAGAATTGGTAGGGGGATAAACTGTGGGTATTTTTGCGGGTCACGTGAGTCGGGTTAAATAGCCCGACACAATCATTCGGCTGAGCCGCTTCTGGAAGGACGGCTTGAAACTTGAAAGCGCTACTGCTGGAGGGTCTCGTGATGACTAATCTTTCTATTGAAAAATCGCTTTTGCGGAAGTGCTATTCACACGTCTCGTCTCATTGTGAATTGCTATTTAAATGAACTAGTACTACCTCTTGCGATAGTACAGAGATGTTAGATAAGTTATTTTTATAAGTTCTGTCTCTTTAAATTTAAAAAATAATAGAATTATTATCTACTTTTTACATGTTTTAATCAGCGTTAAGTTTAAAAAACAATAAGGTTATAATTTATTTTTCAAGCTTTCAAATGACACCTCCCAATCGAAAATCGGATATCTTGTTGATGAGAAAACTTGAATTGAAATTTTTTCTATGCACACGTGCTTCTGCTATCTTCGTGGATCAATTTTAGAGGTATCAACTTTCAGAAATCGACAAATCATACCTCATTTTGTTCGTCTCGCCATGGGCTTTAAAAGCCATAAATCAATTTTAAAGATTAATTTAAAATTTATCATTAATGGAGTTAAAAACTCTTTTGTGTCATATTAGGGATTTCAATCGAGAAGGCAAATTGTCAGTTTCGATTACATTAAAACTCTTTTGTGTCATATTAGGGATTTCAATCGAGAAGACAAATTGTCAATTTCGATTACATTGAGAGGCAAATTGTCAAAAAAAAAGTTTACATGATAAACTCTAAAAAATGGCATACTTTAAGAGGTTAATTTTTTTTCCCTAATATATATATAAAGAAAATTGAGTTTATCTCAAAGAAGTTATATCATGCATTCATTCCAAAATCACACAGTGTAGGGCTTCATCCTTAAATTATATGATTAACCCCCTTGAGGCTTTGGTTAAGACCATACGAAACATGGCCCAAAAGGAGTGGGATATTCGAATCCAACACGTTCATAGAGAAACTAATTTTGCAGCGGATCACATAGCGAGCATGGCAGCTTCCTTCCCGAGTGGCCTCCATCGTTTCAATTCTCCCCCCGTGGGAATGGGAGCTTGGTTGGATCATAATAGTCTCGGGGTGTCGTACCCTCGTCGAGTCATAGTCCAGGCCTTTGGCCTCCTTCTTTGTACCAAAAAAAAAATTAGCAGAGGAATTTATCAGAGGAACATTGTAGCGGGTCCCAGCACGAGCCGCATCAATTGGAGAAAGTAGCAGCTTTTGTTTCAACTCGGACAGAAAAGAGGACCCTTGTTGCCTCGTCTGTAGCATAGGGTCATACGAGCAAAGGAAAAAAAATCAGGAAGAATAAAAAAAAAATATTTAATGTGGTTTTCATTGATGTTCACCTTCAGATACTCATCAACTTCATTCTTGATTTGCTTCGGTTTTAGAGCCGCATCAACCTCAGAAAGTATTCTAGGCGATTGACTAATCTCCGCCAGTAAATCAATCTTCACAAATATAAATCAATTAATTTTAAAAATTGAAATTTACAGACCAATATGTACACATTTTGAATCTTCTACGTACCTTTAAGTTGGGAGTTGATGGATCTGGAAGCCTCATATTGCGAGGAAATGCACTCAAGATTATATTTCGCATCTGTATGCAGCTCGGGGGGATGACATCACAAAAACTGAAATGATAATCGCAAAGGAATTCTGGAAAATCATGAAGCAACACCAACAATACTCTTAGAGTCCCCTTGTACAGAAAGTGTGCCTAAAAGAGATTCACAAAATAACAGAGTGAATTGACTAAATCAGCAGAATAAAAGGTTTTAGAACCAAGGAACATTCGCATAAACTGATTACAAACCGGCTCTCCAAGTTCAGCATTCCTAAGGAATGGCTCCATAAACTGAAACATGTCCACCAGCAATCTCTGGAAATAGGGCCATCCCTTCTGTGCATTTGCTGTCAGTAACTTCGGCATGAAACTTCTGTGACTGACCAATTCCAGCCACGCAAAGCTGAAAGCAAGAAAGTCGATTTAAGCGTAAATAACGCATATATGGTCTTGAAAAGATTAATCACAACTGTCCAAGCTATAATAAGTCAGAATTGAAACTCAAGGCAATATTACGAACCAACAATCCCCTTGTATTGAAACAGAATGCTCAGAGAAGTTACAAATAAAAAGGGAGTTGTAATTAATGAGTAGGCTGAGATGTAAAAACCAGAAAGTTTTTACCACCAGCTAAGAATCAAACACAAACCTGAACCCTGGGACCTTGAGAGGTTGAATTGCATGGAAAGAATTCGCTAAAGCGGTCAGCACCTGAAAGGTTTAGTTTGATTCTTTGTTAAGGAAAACAGAGAAAAATCTAAAGCAGTGATCACAGATGAACCTGTGATCACTGACAGAAGATAAGATAAAGTTCCAGTAGATATATAATCAAACTGCAGCATATACCTGAAAGTTGGCACCATCAAAAACTGGCTCCAAGGAACACATATCAAGCAGCCAATTAATAAACAGCCTAAAATACGGCTTGGGATTAAAAGCCATCTTCTTCTTCTCAGCATCTTTTTGGATAAATTTTACGGTCACAGCCAGCACCTAAGGAAACATTGACCACGGCAGAATATATTAACCATCCAAAAGATTCAATAGAGCTCAGCAGTTGAATTCTTACCTTCGGCAAAAAAAAAATTATATGATTAACACTACAGCTCAAAACGGTGTACTGACTAAAATCTTATTATGCATCTTGAGATCTATATAAGTTTCATAATCGAGAACGAAAAAAAAGAGGTATTATTTTTCATATTTTCTCATGGCCTAACAAAAGCCAAGACCTGACGATCAAATTGGTTCTAACAACACCTTTACATATATTTTACATCTGCATAATACGATGTTATAAATTGAAATACTTATATTTACATTTTATGCTAGTTTTAAACAAAAATCACATCGAATGATATATACCATAAGTTAGCTTGTATTCATGCGATATATTTTATGTTTTATATTGGTGGTGTTGTACTCGTAAATATATGATTTGACACCTCCAACTTTTTTTTTTCTAATATTTGGGGTAATTAGATATAAAATATTTTTCATATTGTTTCACGTAATATGTTTTTCACATAGCTAAATGAACAAATGTGTGTATATATCACTACACGCTTCTTAAGTTTTTGTTATTAATATCACTACACATTATAATAAAAAATCTACCTTCACCAATTAATTTATTTTTAATTATCAATCATTTATATTGATTATGTTACTATTTTCATATCAAATTAACTTTTTTTTCAGCAGATCGACGACGAAGTTACAACATTTTTACAAATGTACGAGATGAAATCCAAACTAAAAATTACATAAAGGACTTATTATATATATAATCAGTAAAACATATATAGGTCAAAAATTCAATGACTCTATTTGTATATACTGTGTGTTCTTTTTCACATCATATCAATTTTAACCATTTATATTTATCATGCTGCTACTTTTATCTCAACTTATCATTTACAAGTTGTAACTCTCAATTCCATTGCACGTAACTACTAGATTTTTTTTTTAAAAAGAAATAATAGACTTATATTAATAAACACTGAATTTACAAACTCTAAAACAACTCATACAGGTAACTATACTGAATCTATGAGGTCTACTCAAAGGTAGTTTAGAGCCGACAACACAAACTAACAAAAACAAAAACTCCAATATAGAATGTATTAAAGAAGACAAAAGAAAATACATACAAGGTAAAATTAAATAAAACCTCCTCTCCTCTCGCTTATCCGTCACCACCATGCCCACGAGTCCTAAGAGGGTGATCGGTTGCGAGTTAAAAATGATTTTAATCGATCAAAATTGAATTAGAAGTTAGAATGAATTATTTAGAATAAATCTTATTGAGTGAAATAAGAAAGACCGTAACTATATAATATTTAAATTGTAATGATAAAGTTGATGATATGTAAAAGTAGAAGAGAGATGATATAAGTGGTATGTGGTTAAAAATATGTGAGTGGATGAATAATAGATTAAAATTAATGTGATGTAGACAAAAAATTAGATGATATTATTTAATGTTATCGATAATATTGAAAATAGTGGTGTTGAGTTATATTTTAAATTAAAGTAAGTAAAAAAAATGATCCAATCATGATCGATTAAAATCAATTTTAACTCGCAACCAATCACGCCCTAAGCTTTTAAACGTTTATCTATCACCACCTTGACCACTGAGTCCTAAGCCTTCAACAACAGCCCTCGAACAGGCCACCATCGGAGCTCAGAAGCATCTACCAAATAACAATATACATAAAGAAAAGTAAAACAGAAAAAAA